CAGGACACACTAGAAAAACATGTCCACTTCTGTTGTCATCAAGTAACAATTGATGAGGAAATGATGTATTTGTTTATCAAATAATCATTCTTGTACTTTAATTTGCATTTACTTCAAGTTAATGTCATTCAATAATCGATGATAAAGATTAAAAAAATGAACACAATCATTAAATTTTATTAAACTAAATTTGGTATTTGAATATAATTTTAAATACAACAAACTTACAATAAGTATTAAATGGTAAATGATAACCAAATTACAATAACTGATATTAAATTGTAATAAACAAACTGAACTAAAATACATTAAAAAAAGTCCAACAAATTTAACAAAATAAAGTAAGTATTAAATGAGAAATAATAAAAAATTACAATTTAACAAAATAAAGTAAATACAAATATAATAAAAAAAACAAAATCTATCGATGCCTGCGAATGTGTTCCGCAAGGCGGTGGTTGTCGGTCTCGAGGAGGATTTCTTCGTATCACTGGTTCTGACCCTCGTTGTCATCATCATCGTCGTCGTCGTCGTCGTCATCCTGAGCAGGTACATTAGGTTGATGAGGAGCTGATGACAATGAAACACCTACATAGAATAAGGACCCTAGAGGTGTATGATTGATTATCCCACCGGCCAGCAAAAACAAGGAAAACTCATAAAACCCAGACATCGTTGAGTGTGAAAACTGTACAGGAGGTGTCTGTGCTGCGGCCATGGGTGATGAGGTTGAACCCGCAAGTCGGATCTACAAACATAGACCCATAATAGCCTCCAGGAGGGGTCATATGTGACGGTGGCGGCGGCGGGGTCATAAAACCAGGTGAAGGCGGCGGCGGCATCTGGTAATAGAAAGGCGATGGCGGCATCATATATGGTTGTGGTGGCTGCTGTGAAGGTCCTGCTGGTGCAGCTGAGGATGAACCGAAAGCACCTGCTCTCCGTCCACGAGTCGGGGGACGATGGTGCTGTGTCGGATAACGTCTCTGTCGACGTCGTGGAAAGGTCTGCCCTCGTGCATCCTCGGGAAGCAGAAACGGTTTCCCGTTACTGTTGAACCACTCATAATAACCTTCAGCAACACTCAAGAGGTAAAGTAAAATGGGCTCTCTACGGGGAAGGCGTCGATGTCGATCCTCCCACAACACAACCCACTCATGATGCCTCACCAGCCAATTTGTATCCGTCTTGCCGCATCTATCTAAGCTATGCAACTCGACCATATTGCGTGGTGCATCCGAATTGGTTGAAAACAACCAAACTGTCGGAGCACGCGATCAGTGGAGTGCCACTCGACGGTCGTATAACAGATCAGAGGGACCATTGCCATCCAAACATCTGATGGACCCTTCAACTCAGGTGGGATCACCGCCCTCACATCATCAGTAGAATATGTCACCCATTCAAACTAAAACAAATAATATATAATTTTTATCAAAATAATAATCTAATTATATAACTATAATCTAAAATTGATTTTTAAACATTAAAATTCATACCTGTGTGCCAGCCTTCTGATCGATTAGCACTCTAATTTTTTCTAAATCATCAGGTAGCTCCTGATGATTTTTCCTATCAGTAGACCACCTATTCAAGGAAAAAAAATTATTATACACTGTATAAAATTATTAATATACAAAATCAGTTTTATAATTACCTCAGAAGTAGTGGAAACACGAATGGGTTCTTCACAACGGGACATAAAAAGGGCAATCGATACCATGCCCAAGACTGTAACAGCAGAAGACATCCGCCGATAGCATTACGCTTGTAGTCAGTGGCTCCACACATCTCCCTATACATCAAAGCCAAAACTGCCGAGCCCCAACTGAATGATTCGGTGAGACGAAAGTCGCTAAGGTGTCGCAACCACATGTAGTGAACTAGGTTGTGCGATTTGTCCGGCATCAACAACCCTCATATCAACTGCAATATGCATGCACGTGCATACATCTTAACCTCATCCTCAGAGGCGTCTACGCTCAACTCCCGAAAATTGGCATCTAACCAATTTAACGGTATCCTACCTCCGATAAAACTTTTCGGGACACGTCCTAGATTTTCCCGGCACAGAGTAGTCCAAGAACCGGAAGTTATCCCTGATATCACATCTCCATCCACTGGAAGCCCCAGGTGCATAGAAACATCCTCAAGCGTGATCGTCCACTCTCCGCACGGAAGATGGAATGTGTGGGTTTCCGGCCTCCACCGCTCTACTAAGGCAGAAATAAGGTATGGTTCTATTTTACAGTGATCCTGATATCTACCTATGTAACCAAATCCAACCTCTACTAAATACGGCAAGACACGACTAGGTATCACTAACTTAAGATTCCTAATAAAAGGATATAATATACGGTCATTCTCCTAAAAATAAATAATTACAAAAATTAATTCTTAATCTAATAATCATGCATTAAATAAATCAACAAATTATTACTAATAATTTAAATTAAATTAAAACGTTAAAATGTTACCGTATCAGCAAAGTGTCGAGATATATGATTTCCATCTAAGCGAAGTAGACCACCTTCCATTATATATCTGTAAAAAATTATATTAGTAAAATATTAAATAAAGTAAAATACTTAAATAAATTAAATACATAATATTAAAAATATTATAAAATATACCTTAAACGAGAGAGTATTTTAGAGAATTTGGTGTGATGAAAGTGATTGAGGATGAGGTATATATAGGGAAGGGTGGGGTGTGAAAGGCCGGGTAATTAAAGCTATAGCACGCCTCCTGCACCGCGCTATGCCCCACGTGTCAGATAAATAGGTATAGCGCGGAGCAGTGGGCGCACTATAGCCACGTGTAACCCAGTCACGTATAGCGCGGTGCAGGGGGTGCGCTATACCCCACGTGGCGCTAAATCAGCATATAGCGTTGGTCAGGGGGCGCGCTTTACTGCTACGGGTGTTAGATCGAAAAATATAATCTGATCGGTGTTAGATCGGTAAATATACCGATCACCAGTGATATTTCGAAAAAATACCTTTATTGCGACCATAAACCTTTAAACGGTTGATGCATTTCTTGTTATATATTATTACAATTAGTGGAAGAATATTTAGATATAATAGAATTCATGTCCCATTGGGATATTGGTTAAGATGAACTATTCAATATTCCACTATTCGGTAATCCATTATATTTTATAACTGACACTTAATGTCTTAGGCTCACTATAATGCACTAAACAAAAACTCAGTTTGTAATTCTTTACATGTTTGAATGGAAAACAAGGACGCATTGCAATTGGTGCGACCCTAAACCTTCACGACGACCAAAGACGCATGTCCATACGACACACCATAGACGCCATGATATCAATGTATCTTCGGTAAACACTGTAACATTTACCTTATCTAAATAAATAATTATTCAGTTGCATTATTTTACTAATTCTTATTTTAACCACGTTATTTACAAATTTTAGCCAACTAATTGCTATAATATAAGTTTATGAGTTAAAAGTAATTTAAAAATGATGTTGTTTTCGCATAAATCAAGAGACTTCAGTAATTAAAGGATTTTTTTTAAAGTATCGAGTTTGAATACAACATATTTAGAAGTATAAGCGTTCATTGTTAAATAATTTAGAGAATCTTTAAACAAATATTACTTTGTATTCATCCCAAAATTATTTGTTTAATATGTGACGACATTAATTTTGATGTTAGTTGTCGACTGCTTGTATTACATTTCTTTTATTTGCTTATTTTGTATCTTGTTTTTTCCTTGTTTGTTTTTTATTTTCAATAACTCTACCTCTATAATACACATTAGTCTATCTTTATGATACGTTTTCCTTCATCTTTTGGTTTGTTTCGGTCGTTTGACCATTTTTTTTATTTAATTTTTTCATAGTTGAATTTGACGACGCCTTGAGTAATCAATATGATGCTAATTTATTATCTTATTAATCTTCCATACTTTGGACTCATAATGAATTTGAATATGTGGTTTGTGTATGAAGATAATTTTCTCACAACGCTCGATTTTGATTTGCGATTGTTGGTGGTCTTTCAATAGTTTGATCCCCTATTGTGGTTCATTTGTCGATGCAGTAAGATATATTTGTATCTATCTTTTGTTCAAGTTTTTTAGATGAACTTTTAACTTTTTTTATATGTTTTTTATATGATTTAAAATTTAAAATTTATTATGTTAATAGTTATAGGAATATATCGTAACTACATGTTTATTATAACGTTGAATATTATCTTTCTTTTTTCTTATAAAACTAACGGCTTCTATTTGCATATAAAATTAATGTTCTTCTTATATATTGTTATTTGTCTTTTTAATTTTCTTTTATTCTTATTATAAAATTTATAGTTTTGTAATATGTTATTAGTATAAATTAGAATAATTGTATGACTTGAATTAATGTATAAATATTTGAATTAATCTAAATAACGACTTAATTAATATTATATTTCATTTAAAAATTTGAAATAATCATCTAGCTTAGTTAGTAGAGCACAAGGTTCTTAACCTTGAGGTCGTGGGATCGAATCTCACGGAGGGCATTTCATAATTCGGAGGTCTCTTACGGAAGCTGACTTCAACCTGGTATTGAGGGCAGCCTACTATCTTACCTCCCCCTTACCCCATGCATATGGGAAAAAGGAACATCCATTTAAAAATTTACGTAATTATGTTCAATTCGATAGAAATCAAATTATTATTTAAACTTTTTAGTTACAATGATTTGACTGTTTTGTTCGTATCGATCGAATGAAAAACAGATTCATACAAAAATATATTCATTGGATGTAAAATTGTCTTGATTAAGCCAGAGTTTAAGAACAAGGTGTAATTATTAATCCATACTTAATATAATTAATAAATATATTAAAATTATACCAACGAAGAAAGTTGTCTTGTAGTGTAGTAGGTAATGAAACTAGTCTCACACGTTAGAGTTCCCCGGTTCGAACCCCGGCTCGGACATTAGGATTTTTTGTTTCCCTTCGATTTTTGCATTCGTCTCTGTAACGAAATACAATTTCGTAGCTCTTAAGCATTTTAATTTTGAAACTCAATTACTTTCTTTTCCAGTTCAATGCAAAAACTCCCCAAAGAAACACTTCCAAACAATCTGTGTAAGGTTCCCATAAAAATAACTTCATTCAACCTCCATTCATTTTCTTCAGCTCCACTTTCTCGTGTAAATTGTCCTTTCCCCCCTAATTTCTAGGGTTTCGTGCAGCGAAGAGAAGAGGCTCGAACATAATCAAATCCAATGGATTGGGGAAACGTAACCGCAGAGGATCTGATTGACGCGCTTCGTGAAGTGGACTGGTCATCTCCGCCACGTCCTCTCCCGGAATTCTTCTCTCGTTTCACCGTCCCTCGATCTTACGCCAAATGGAATAGCCGCCTTAAATGCAATCTCTACTAGTAATTTTTTTCCTTCAATTTTTTTGGTAATTTCTTTCATTCGAATTTGAATATTAACCGGTGCTGTTTGTATGCCAAGAGAAAAATTGTTGCCAAAAAAAGAAGATAATTCTTGAATCTTGATCGTGAATGTGCTTTTCGAATACTATATCAAATACTTCATTTCTGTTAGTTTCTTTCTTTAATTTTATGTTCTTCTTTCGCTTTGCAGCTATCGGACCAATTATTTCATCATGATTGTTGTCATTCTTTGTAAGTAGACAAAATCAACAGTGGCTCTCTGGTTTATTTTTAGTACATGTATATTTATTTATACATATATATATATGCATTATTTATTTATTTTGTAGGTTTGGGATTCCTGAGGAGACCGGTTGCTATTTTAGGTGCGATCTTAACAGCGCTTAGCATTGCTTTTCTGAATGATAGGTAAGCAATGTTAGACCTCTTTGTTTACTGTTCTGGATTTCAATTCAGTGACGTTATTTTGAATGTTACCTTGGAAATGGATGGATGAGCTCTAGTATAGTAGTATTTAAAGTTGATATATTATTATATGGTTAGATTTAGTTTCTCACTCGTGTCTTTAACGGATTATTTTATAGCTTTACTGGTACTTTTAGTGAGAAGGTGACTAGAACTGTGAGACAATTCTCTCCACATTTAGCAGCTAAGATGAGGCCCCCTCTTACGTAAGTTTTGATTACTCCGCAGACTATATATATTCTTGATTTGGTTATTAACTTTTTCATTATTGTCAGACCTGTTATTCGTGGTCGTCCGCTGGCTAAAAGAACAATTCACATATGCGGCCGGCCTCGTTGGGTCTTTGTCTTCATATTCTCATCTGGTATCAATATCTTTCAGAAATTTTCTTTCTTAAAAAGTTAGAACCATTCTGTTTTCAATCCAATGTAGTATATAAAGCAACTAATTTTACCATTCTTGTTGCAGTGAGTTTCATCCTTTGGTATGTGTCCTGTGGTCTACTGACTATATGCTGGGCACTAGCCATTGCATTGCTTGGTCAGTGATCTTATCTCTTTTTTTCTCATTTACCCCATTAAGAAGTCATTTTTTCTTCTAACTCTTTCTCTTGCTCTCTTTCTCAGCCACTATCCTTCATGCAAGTTTTAGGACACCTAATCTGAAGGCTCGTCTTAATACTTTCCGTGAGGAATTTCGTGCAGTTTGGCGCAATTACAGTGAGCTGTAGATCATATAGTCTATAGCATGTAAGCTGATCTTGTTTTTGGAATATTCTGTGTATTCACATCTTATGTATTTCATGATTGTGATTTTCTACACTATAATGGTATGTGCAGTAGCAAATCAATATCTTTGTTTGTTTTCTCTTGTCCACACTCCACGCTTGCATTATGTTTGAAAACTTCTCTATAACATGATACTAGTTACTGTGCATATATAATTATCATTTAGTGTTTTATTCCCATCAGACTGATATCTACAATTTAAATCGCACATTTTACTTTGATTAAATGGTTGTTGATAAAACAATTTGCTTCTCAAATGTGCATGGAAGGGATACTCAGATGAGTTATTTTTAGCTTCTGCTGATCTCAGTCAACTCCTCAGAGAAAGAATGACTCAAGGAAACAAAAAATAAAAATAATACTCGTATGATTGAATGGAATAGAGATATCAGATGAGTTCTCTATGGCTGTTGGTGCCATTGAGGCACGGCAGGATGATATTCGTAAAAAGAATGTGTTTACATTTGTTATACAAACAGAAAACGTTCAATTTGTTTTAAAAATTGTTAAAAAAAATTCCATGGATCAAATTTGAATTTTCTTACCACTGTGTTATTTGCCTGGTATAGTCAAAATTCTTGGGTTTCTTTATCAAATGGTCAATTGACTGCCAAAGACTCACAAGTTTAACAACTCTGGAAAACTATGATGTGGTTAATCATGGTACTGCTTCAAAATTTTGCTGACGTTGTGCTAATGTTGATAGGCTATTGATTTTATCATTTCTGAACTCTGCTACTTTCTCTTACAGCTTATAACTGCAACCTTTATCTTCATTGTTACACATCCTTTTATATTTTTCTTATAGTCTGCCTCTTGTTGCGAGATTTGATCATGTTCTATTTCATGATTCTCACTGTTACTGCTGTGTTTGGTTTCAGGCAATGAAGGCTCTGATGATGTGAAGCTCGAAGATCTTGTTATTATAAGGTTGCATGGCTGCTGTTGGTGATGGCTAATCTTTGCAATAGCAGACAAGGTGTAAATTGTCAGTGCCTCTTTTGTTTCTGTAAATCAGACCATTTCTGTCTTCACTCCCTTGCTGAATGTTTTTACTCAAATAACCCTCCTTTGAGAAGAAAAAGAACAAAAAAAAAAAAAAAAATTTGCAGAATTTACAGGAGCAATTAGCTATCTTATAGTTGTTGGGCAAGGTCTGGTGGTAATGTGTCTTTTAGATATACTTTTGATTCTTAGTTACCTGTTGTAGTCCCTTAAGTGTGAATTGAAACTTAGAGGTAGAAAGATTATGTAACATTTTTCGGCATGTTCCCCTAAGTGATTTGGATTCGAATAACATTGTCTGCAAAATATGTGCGAGTTTTATCCAGGTAAAAAATAGAACAATTACTGTCATGAGATCACATTAGAATGATTTTTGAAAAACTAGAGCTACAAAAAAAATCCATCAGTGTTATCTGAGTTAAAAAAATCTGCACTTATATAGCAAATCTAATGATTAATTTTCTAGTATTATTGCAAGGAATTATGTAGGTTTCTTCTGCGAACAAACTGAAGAAGCCATTCAACAAAATAGACTTCACAGTTTTGACATCAAAATTTATACTCGATTAAAACCCAGACTACAAAATTCCCCCTCTAATTTCCGTTTCTGTCCCTCATTCTTTGCTATACGAAGCCCTTGTATATAAATCACTATTAATCGGCATTTCGGTGCTTTCCAGCGAACCCTGTTCCAGCTTTTGGTGCTCACAAGGATTCACAATTTCGGTTTATTGCTTTTAAATTCGAGCCACATATATGACAATCACCACGTTCCATTATCTGAGAAGACAACGATTTTAATCAGCCATTTTTAATATTTAATATTATTATATTAAATATTCTTTAAGATTTTAAATTAAAACAATCTCATATCAATTACTTCAAATATTCGATAATAATTATATCCTATTTGATTATGTAATAATACTCTCTCATTTCTGCCATTACTGTTAGTGAACGATAATTTGGTTAAGTTCCCCATTCTTCAATAAGTTTATTTTGGCTATTTTTTTCACAGAACAAAATTTGTAACTCAAATTGTTGAGTAAAATATGATTATTGCTTGGTATATTTGAAAAAGAAGAAGGAAGAAAACAAAAAATATACAAATTTTATCATTATACTCTTGTATAATATTTATTAAAAAATAAAATTTATTTATTTTTATTAGTCTTGACTGAATACAAGATAGTATATGTTCAAAAGATTATTAACTATTTGACAATGAACACTCCTACACCACTCCAAGCTATAGATGTCGTGCTTGAACCTAAAACCTCAAGGGATAATAACAATCTATTAACCAAAGGTCACTTAATTCGTACTATAAAACTTAAAAATAAATATTAAAAAATCCTAAATTAATTATATCCTAATATTGGATAATCATATTAAATAAAGTGTTATATAAAAATACATTAAAAAAATAAAAACGTTAGTTTACTTATTATTTTGATTTATTTAATCCAAATAAATCCTAAGACTTTAAACTGCTAGACCCAGTAGCCATGACTATGAGATCCCAAATAGTAATATCCCTAAGTTCCACCCTTTTTCACATGTAAATATCTCCACATGCATTTAAAATGCTTACTGCTTTTTGATTTGGTTTACAAACTCCCAAGGAGAAAACAGTTATTTGGATGGCGAAGTATGACAAGCCCGTCAATGACAAAGGCTCCAGAGTCTCTGCGGCGAGAAGATGGTGCCTTTTTTCTCGACCGATGGCGCTCCACCGTATGGCAGACCAACACCAGCTCCATTGATGTTCAAAGAGCAGAGAAATCCTGTTCTTACGAACTCTTCCGGAAAAATACATCATTCTCAACGTTACTGGTCTTACGTGAAGCTCAAAAATGAGCGCCAAGGAGAAATATAAGCACAGTTGATGCATGAACCGCCTTAGAATGAGGGAAAATAAACAACATAAATAGATTATCATGAAATCTTGTTTGGAGTGCGCCTACTAACCTAGTTTGAGTGACAAGTTTTTGTATTGCCAGTGAGGAAGAGGTAATATGCAACCCAAGGACCAGGTGCAACAAGCATGTCGATCTGGACCTCAGGATGCAGATTACCCTGTCCTTACGGATATGAAATCTACAAAGTCGAAGCGAGAGCTAAGGAAGTTGAGGTAAAACACAAGAGGTTGAGGCCCTCATGCATATGACAACACAGATTTATAGTGGCTCCTAAACCTAACAAGAGAATTAGTCCATAAATTGGGGACTAAAACTGTTAAAGAATAAAGGGAGATAAGGTTTTCCAACGGGAATCAACGTCGATTCTGTTCTTCTCGAACCAATATGATATTGACTGCTTTTCCATCATGACTAGACGTCTTCCCTGGCTACTTGTTGGAAAAAAAATGTTTAATACTGAAGAAAAAAAAAACAATCTTTTCCCAAAACATATCACTATGAACAAGGAAGGTTTCTATCTATTAGGAAGCACACTAATAGTCTTTTTTTTTCTCTTCTCTGCAAATATGCTGAAAGATGCTGAGCATCTACAAACCTGGGAATAAATTCCATGGTTACTTTCCACTTGCATGCATCTTATGCTTACAACTTCACCCAACACTTGCTGCAATGTGATGTCACTGTGTGTATGAAATCTAGTGGTCCTCCTTATTCATGCCAGACACTCCAATCAAGCACCAGAAAAATAGAATAAAACCAACGCCTTCTATTGTTGAGAAATTTTAATGCAGTATTCAAGAGAAATGACAGTTTCACATTTTTTATAAGTTGTGAATAGGGTGTAATGAACCTAACGTTCAACGAATTGTTCGTATAACATTCATTTATGTTAGTTTATTAAACTAATAAATTAATATAATTTTTTTATGTTCATTTAATAAACAAACGAATACAAATAAATATTCATTATTTCGGTTTATTTATGTTCTCGAACAAGCTCGACTCATTTACTCGATTCTCATTTTCTTTTAATTTTTTACATTTTAAATAATTGCGAAGATGAGTACTAAATTGGACATAAGGTGAATTTTGGAATTTAAATTGTGAAACCTAAGGAATTTAAGGATTTGTAGCATGATTTCATCATTTTTCTTTGGCTAGCAAATAAAAGGATAAAAGAAGTGTGTATCAAAAATTAAAGGAACGTTAAACGAATATGTTCGCAAAAGTTAAAAACAAATATGTTCGCAAACGTTAAAGGAATATGTTCGCAAACGTTAAAAGAATATGTTCGCAAATGTTAAAAGAACATGTTCACAAACGCTAAACACAATATTGAATTTAACGAACATGAACACCTTTAAAAATAAACAAACGAACATGAACATAACTCTATTCATTCAAGCTCGGTTCACTTACACCCTAGATGTAAAGCTTTGGTTCTGATCTCCAAAAGCTACATAATAGGAATAGAGTAACATACAAAACTGTGACGATAACATGATCATGAACAAATTGCCAATTGTGTCTGAATGTTAAAGTCTAAGTGTATTGGAATTTGGAACTGGATACAGAAAAAAAGGTATATCCATGGCAACAACAGCAAAATTTACCTACAGCTTTCTATATTAACTGGTTGCTTTTAGATTCTACCCAGTTCTTTCAGGTTTTCTTATCATCTTGAGAGCTGAATGACTAGAGTTTTACAGACACGACGTTTATGGAAGAAAAGGGAGTTCGAGATGAAGCTAATAATCGGTAGGAATGCTTGATAGAAACATCTTCAATGTCTCGTAGGTCATAAAGACGATGCCTACACCAGGAACCACCTTGTAGTACTCGGGAAGAATCCCTCTGTACAAGCCACAAAGGCCTTCAGACTTGATTATATGCCGAAAAGTACCAATCAACCCAGTTTTATAAACACGGGCTTGCCCAGCAGCCCCTTCCAATTGCACTCGCCTCCTCACGAGATCAATGGGAAATGTCGCTGCAAATTTTCAGTGAAGAAAAACAAAGTATGCAGAGCTCAGAATCAGCTTCTAACTATTTTGTATCACTTTACTAATATATATATATATATATTTGCCCACTGGGCCTTCGGCCACAAAACTGAGTAAAATTCTATATATTCCAACCATTTCCGCCCAATCATAAGGGGCGAATTTAAGATAACCAAGTGCAAAATCCCAGGTTCTAACCATTGGGGCGTGTTAACTTAGACAATAAGGTATTAAAAACATTCATCATTAAATTCTACATCCATTCAGCTGAGAGGAAAAACACCATTGCATAACAATACCAAAACGGATAAGAGTCGCAACGAAGGGAAAGATTAACCATTAAATTCTACATCCATTCATGGTTACTAACCTGTAGACGATGCGATTCCTGATAGACTGCCACAGGCAAGACTAACCATTATAGTGGAATCATTGGGCCTGATGTAAAATCAAAGAAATTCCAAACAAGTTACAGCTTGACCGCATCAACCAAAGACAATCAATGTAAAAGAGCACGCACTATTGATCAATCTAAACCGACAAGAACTTTTACCTTTGTAACTGCCAATAAGATCTTAAAGATTCATATACCGAAAAGCTTATTGCTATACTCGGTCCAACACCCTGCACCACACAGCATTCCAATAGCAATTATAGACAATGAGATGGGAAAATAAAGAATCGAAGAAGAAAAGTAACTAACATACCAATAATGTTGCTCCGAGACCTTTATACAAGCCGAAGAAACCCTCTTCCCTACAAATGGTATGAAAAGCATGCCAAATACCTCTGTAGTACATTGAATTTCTCTGCAAAGTTCAGAATAATAATTTAACTGGAGGGTAAGTGAAAAAAAAAAAGAACAGAGACAAGGTGCATATCAAATGGGAAGCAATAGACCACACGTCAAATCTTGTTCAAAGGGTACAGTAAATTAAATTGCTTTCTTCACTCGGACATTACAGATAGTTACCTGAGCTGCAAGACGTGTTCTCACAAGATCCAGTGGATATGTAGCAGAGGCAGCAGTCATTCCAGCCAACCCACCGCCAACAAAGTGAACGAAGGGGTCAGCACTGACGTTTCCCCTTTGGTTCTCCAGACCAAGAATAGATTGCAAAATCTGAAAATAAAACAAACAACGTCATACGAGTGAATGAATAGAAGGCTTTTGGTAAGGAAAAAACAAAGATGGCTAGAAAAAGTGAGAACATACACTTTTATAGTGTTCATAGGCGTAGAAGTTGACTGATGAATAGGGAAGCCGGTGAGCGATTGTAACCAGATTGCCTTTCTAAAAAGCTTTGAACCCTTCTTCATTTATAATGCGCGAAGCCTCACGCCATATGCAAGCCTTACTTAATGCCGATAAGTCTGAGTGTATTCCTTGCACCTTAAAGGAAAGGCAACCATCCAGCAGTCATTAAGGTAGAATGTATACACATGCTCAACATAACAGTAAGCAGTATGTAAATTCATGACAAAATATCATTCAAAAACATTAGGCCGACATTACTACTCTGTTGTTTCATGCTAAATTGACTAATGCATTCATCATTAACACTAATGGAAAAAGATTTTACAATTTGGATAGAAAAAACAAGGAATTCACCTAGCCAAGCCATCTAAAAGCAATTGTAAACCAGACCTGAAATAAGATGGTGAGACGAGCAAGAGGAGCCGTACAAGTCTTGCTAAAAGCACCAGCAAGAAGCTGTTGACTGGTCCCAATCTGCGGACTCAAACCGTGCTTTGAAGAATGCCCAAGTTGCTGTTGCGGCTGTAGAAACTTTCTAGTACCAGCATCTACGACAGCTCCGTGAGCCGAATTCAAAGCCCTTTGTCCTCCTTCAACCACCACCCTAACTCTTGCTTCCATATTCATAATATCTCAAAGTTCTCTCCTTTTGAAAAGAAAAACAGTACTTTGGATTGGGTTTTGGGAATTTGGGTTCTGATGTTACATGGGGGTATTAAAGGAAGGAAGAAGGGAAAATCAAGGAAATGAAAACAGGGGAAGTCATAAGCTGGGTTTTGTGAAGTTTTGAAGAAAAAGATAACCCTAAAGTTGATGACATCAAGAGTTTATGAAAGACGTTTGGGAGTTCTGTCCTCCGAATATTCTCTTTGTTGCGTTGATTCGACGGTACAGTCGAGTATTGTCGAACTCGAAAACTTTAAATGTAAATTCAACTCGACTAAAAATATGTGATCTTAAAATTTTCAAACTCAACTCGAACTCAAAAGATAATGTTAAGACTCGAACTTAAAAAGACTCAAACTCTAACAAAATTAAAAATTTAACTAAAGATCGAGACTCGAGCTCGATTAAAGTTTAATTTTAAACTCGATTAAAGCTTAATTTTAAACTCGAATAAAGCTCAATTTTAAATTCAATTCAAAATTCGATTCAAAGTTTAATTCAAACTCGATTCAAGTTCAATTCAAACTAAATACTCACCACACGGCTCCGTAAATTAAACAAATGAGTTTAGGCTTTAATTATAGATCACTTGTGGAGGGATATAATACTTCCCTTCAAATTACTATCGCTTTCTTGTAATCCATCGTTTCTACAACATTTCTCATCACAAGGGAAACTCACTTTTGTAATCTTAAACCCAAAACCCAGCAAAAACCTTCTGTGTAAACAATGTATTCGTCAAATCTACCGACTTGGGTCTCGTCAAAACCTTCAAATTCCACCAAAAATCATTTCTTTTATCAATTTAACCAAAACCCATTTCTCCAATTTTCCAATAGATTAACCCCAAAAAGCATCTCTCGATCTCCTTCACCCTTCACTCAGATCCATTGCCGCCTTCGTGAGCTCCGAAAACGAATCGAAACGGTGAAAAGCACTCAAAAATTCACTGAAGCAATGATGCTAGTGGCGGCTGCAAGGATCAAGAGAGCTCAAGAAGCTGTCATCAATGGCAGGCCTTTCACCGAAGGTTTAGTGGAGTTCCTTTACACCATTAATGATAGTTTACAATGTGAAGATGTTGATTGTCCTTTAACTGTTATTAGGCATGTAAAGAAAGTAGCTTTAGTTGTTATAACTGGCGATAGAGGTGTTTGTGGTAGTTTCAACAATGCAGTGATTAAAAAGGCGGAGTCCCGGGTTTCTGAATTGAAAGGTATTGGATTGGATTATACTGTTATTAGTGTAGGAAAAAAGGGCAATTCTTATTTTAGGCGGAAAGATGATGTTTTAGTTGATAGATTTGTTGAAGGAGGAGGGTTTCCTACTGCAAAAGAAGCTCAGATGATTGCTGATGATGTTTTCTCGTTGTTTATAAGTGAAGGGGTCGATAAGGTTGAGCTTGTGTATACGAAGTTTGTATCTTTGGTGAAGTCGAATCCGGTGATTCGTACTTTGCTTCCGTTGTCGGTGAAAGGTGAGGTTGTCGATGTGAATGGGAATTGTGTTGATGGCATGGAAGATGAGTTGTTTATGCTGACAACCAAGGGAGGGAAGCTGGTTGTGGAGAGGGATAAAGTGAGGGTGGAAGGAGGGAGAATTTCTCCTCTTATGCAGTTTGAGCAAGATCCGGTTCAAATTCTCGATGCCATGATGCCTCTTTATTTGAATAGTCAGATCTTGAGGGCATTGCAGGAATCATTGGCGAGTGAGCTAGCAGCTAGGATGAATGCAATGAGTAATGCTACTGATAATGCGATTGAGTTGAAGAAGAATCTTTCCATTGTCTATAATCGGGAAAGGCAGGCAAAAGTTACAAGTGAGATTCTGGAGATTGTTGCTGGAGCTGACGCACTTGCCTAAATTCATAGTTTGATTGTTTTCACTTCTCCTTCCTTGTATGTTCCTTTTCTCCGATATCCTTTGTATACAAATGTTCCAATTGACTAAGATACACTAGTTATGATTATGAAGTGCAAAGAAACTATCTTATTAGATCACAGAAACTATGTACTCTAATGAATGCACAACTTCATCCATTCTATATAGCAAGCAGCAGCTTTTCTGCTCTTATTTAGAACCTCGAGAAGTTCTTCTCTGCTAGTGATTGTATGCAGAAATCCCCTATAACCTGTAAAGAGGTCATTCGATGTCTATTTCGAAGTGGAGAGGTTACTGATTTGAAGCCAATTGTCTAACATCTTGTTAAGGTTTCTAATTACAAATGGAAGTATGCCATCATGATTGAAGTAAGCCAATTCCACCTCCACATGAATTCTCGTGCAATTTAGCCATATTTATATTCAAAAATGGAAGTATGCCATCATGATTGAAGTAAACCATAAAGTGCTGTACATTTTTTCACCCAGTAAAAAAATTAAAATTTCTAATTTTTGTTGGAAACAAAATGAAGTTTCGAATATATTTTTGACAATTAAATGTACTACTTACAAATTAAATTACAGCATACATCATTAAATTATGAATTTCGTTTAATTTCAATTCAATTTAGGATATAAAAAACAGAGAGTTGAAGAGAGAAAAAGAAAACCAAAGAAACGTGGACAGTGGACAGTGGACAGGTATTTAAGCCCGTGTTTTAGAAATGGAGTATTAGCATTTTAGGACCTGTTATATTTGTAATCTTCTGATTTCGTCATTAATCAAGGTTTACGCTTTTATGGATTTGATTTTTGTTTTGATCCAAGTGTGATTTATTAGTTTATTTACATATAAACCCTTGTTAATTTTATTAATTTCATTTTGCATAATTTGTATGTTACCTTCATGTGCATAACTTAACCCCCATCACATAATCGAGTTAAGGATTTAGGGCTTATGGCTTAGGATTTATAGTTTAGGGTTTATAATTTAAGGCTTATGGTTTAGGGTTTGAGATTTAAGGCTTATGGTTTATGCTTTATGGTTTAGGGTTTAGGGTGTAATATACATATGCTTAATTAAATGAGCTTTTATTTTTCTTTTAGTACCCTATCATATAATCAGATTAAGGGTTTAGTGTTTAAGGTTTAGGTTTAGGGTTTAAGGTGTAATCTAACATGTGCTTAATTAAATGGGCTTTTATTTTTCTTTTAGTAATATACAATGTAATAATTGGACTTGGGTTGCTTAATTAAAAAAATTAAAAATTGAGGGTAGTTGTATTATAGAATTTTTAATATATTTTTAAAATTATATAATTATCAATAATGTATTTTTAATAAAATTTTTATAATGTAATTTTAAAAATTCTAAAATTATAATATAACATTTTTCGAGCTGCTCACGAGCTTTTTGAGTCGAATATCGAGTAGCTCGTTTCGGCTCGTTAAGAACTCGAGTCGAGTCCATTCGATCCGAGTATTTATCGAGCCTTGATCGAGTCGATCTCGAGTAGCTCGAGATCTGTCTCGTCTCATTTATAGCCCTAGTATAATATCTCTAATTATTTTTAGAATCTATAGTCATGAATAAATAAATAGAAATGAATATAAAGGAAATATATGTTAAAAAACTTATTATTTCACAATGAATACTCATATTGTTTATATCTATATACAATTGTACTTTATTTCTTTTATATCTATATAGGTATATGATTAATTATACTGTGCAATTTTTTTCAGTTTTATATAGATTTAAGATCGTTAAATAAATAAAAATAGATATTGATATTAACAATAATAAATGAAGAGATATTCACTAAAAAAAGAATTTAATCTTAGTAATCTATTTTCACTCATCTAACAATCCTAAAAATGTATTAAAAATTATATTGTGTAAGTAGTTCTTAACTTATATATATATATAATTTTATTATACAATGTAAAACTCTTTTAATTTTATGCATATTTAGCACCGTTTGATGAGTGAAAGTAGATGACAGAGATTAACTGTATGAAATGAGAAGATATTCATAAAAAAATAAATTAATCATCCATCTATTTTCATTCAATTAACGGTCCTAAATTTATATAAAATTAAAAAGTTTTTTATTGTGTAAGTAAATACTAACATACTTAAAATTCACTTATATAATGTATCGATTAAGGAATTTTAACTTCTACTCCCAGATATCAATTTAAACTCTTATAATGGTTCTCAACTAATACAAAATTAAAAAATATATATATCGTATAATTGAATCATACTCCATAATCCATATATACACTATATAATGTTTTATAAAATATTTTTAAGATTTGTCAACGAGTGTTGATACAAGTGGTTGGGATTTAGGAATTTGACCTTGTAAGGCAAGTTCAAATCTTACCACCGTCACTCTTGGTGATCAATCTATAAATTCCTATGTAAATCTCAATTAGGTCTTATGTATGCCCTGACCCTGAACTGAGGAGTCACCCTGACCTAAATTTTTATTTTTATTTATATATTAAAGATTTATAGATGTTTTTTAATAATTAATATTATTTTAGAATTCAAAATTATATGATTAAGTAAATACAATTTGTACTATTAAACGGTACATAAAGAATTACAACATAATTACATTCATTTAATAAAATATGTGTTGGTAATTATAATTTTTAATAATTATAAAAATAATAATTATATTTTTCATTAATTATATTTTAATGTTTATTTACATTTTAAATATATATCTGATAAAAAATAAAAAAAATAATAAGAAAATGCAGCATAGTTTTCCATGGAAACAAAGGGCAATAATAAGAAGGGGTCAACCTCTCATAATGAATCTTTGTTCCTTTTTAATTAAAAAAAAACTTTTGTAGCCCACTATGACTCTATGAGCTTTTCTCATAAATTAGCCACGGAGGCTGATGGCTGTATGGGCTATGATTCTAATACATAGTTGTTATTTTAATCCTAAAAATATTATTATAAAATTAGCATATACCTTAAGATTTAAGGATGGTCATACGTCGGATTTTTGAATCACTTGAATTTAATCCGAAAATTAAATTCTTCTTCTCACATTTGATCTGAATCGGGTTTAGAAAGATTTTACATTTGTCCTACTTATTGTACTCCTTTTGTGAACCCTGTTGAGCTTGTTGAAGCATGAGTATTTCTTGCACCTTTGGCTTCCAATGCCTTACTCTCGCATTTATAGCCCAATTCGATATCTGGGTTACACGCTTTCAATGTGTGCAAGGTGATACTATAAAAGGATGTAAAAATGATGATCAATGGCACACCTGGTTACGTGATAGACCGGTTTGTTTAGCCAAATGTGCTTCTCCGTGTCGGTTGGATAACTAAAACATCGAACACAAAAGTTTAAAACGCAAATAAAATTCCAATGACTGGAGCAATTCAAGTACTTTCGGATGTAGAAAGTGTTCAAATAGCCATGCTCGAAGCACGGTTACAGCACGTTCAGGGAGGCCGCCAAACAGGTCGGTGCTCGTCGAACCCAGAACTATGAACAGCTCGGTTATAAAGGCTTCTTTCAGTGCTTCCATGAGGCTTATTAAGGAACTGAAGCTGGTCTATGATTGCTTTCTTCAAGCATCTGAAATGTTTAGATATGGCTTTCAAAGCCATGATTGCGAAAGGGACAGCATTTCCCAGTCCGGCAATGTATTAGAACGATACTATTACAGTTTGTATATAGGATAAGTTTGAAACATAATGGCGCCACTTGTATATAGGTAATAATATTTTCAGTCATTTTTTTACTGGTTTTGTTATTTAAACAATAATAAAATCGATAACGCTTTTTTTAACCGTATATTAAGACTGTCGCACGTAAGCATTTTAAAAGGGACAGAATTTCCCAGTCCATTGGCTGTGACAATCTTCTTCTAAAGCAGAAAACATAGCAGAGACGATCGAACTTCAAACATCTTTCAGCTTTGTTTATATTTTCTTCTCCTTTTCCTTTTCCTTGCACAAAAAGAAATGAACTCGATGTCATGTATATATATATATATATATATCCCCTTCGCTCTCAAAGCTGGAAATCTTTTGTTACAGTTTTTCCATTTATTTATTGTCTATGTTGACTTTCTTCATGTGACTAGGGGCGGTAAATGAAACGAAATAGATTGTGAGTTATTCTAGATCGATTTAGTTAAAGATTGGTCAACTCTCGAATCGAATAGACTCGACTCCTTTTCTTAACGAGCATAAACGAGCTATTTGATACTCTTGAAAAGCTACAAAGCAATCCAAAAATGATATATTAGATTTTTTAAATTAAATTATTAATAATATTAACATTATATATATATATATAAATATAATATAAGGTTTTTATGTATTTTCATGTTGTAAAACACGTACTGAAAAGAAATGAACAAAAACGTGTATTCTCTATTGCTTCTAGGTTTACACAGTGAGACTCTTTTTATTAGGGATGGCAGCTTGACTCGAACCTGACGGGGAAACCCGAAACCCGGCCAAGTTCGGGTCGGGTTGGGTTTGAATAATATCGGGTCAGGTATCGGGGTAAAATTCGGGGATTTTTTAGGGTTCGGGGCAAGATATCCCCGCCCCGATTATATATATATAAATATTTTTTATTTTTTATACTAAATATATATAATATTTTATATATTTTATATTAATTATATATATAATATTTTATATTAATTATATATAATATTTTATATTTTTATATATATTTTTAATGAAAAATACGATTTTTCTCGGGATCGGGTCGGGTTCGGGTACAACATTTCGGGTCGAGTTCGGGGAACGGGCAAAAAAAATCCCCGACGGGGCACCCCGATAAAAAAATCCCCGACGGAGGGAGCAAAACCCGCCTCGAACCCGCCCCGTTGACATTCCTACATTTTATAGGTTTAAAATAGTTCTAGAATATATATAACAGCTGCCTATATGACGTTATAACAACCTGCCAGCACATGTAACAAACTTTCCACGTAGCACAACTCTCATATTGGCTCATCATTTTCTCTACTCCTCAGGTCATTCAATATCCATAACACGAACTCTTTGTTGAAACTCTGCAAATGATGATTTAGTCAATGGTTTGGTTAATCCATCAGCAACCTGATGGCCAGTAGGTACGTAATTAACGTACAGTTCTTTTCCCACTACATTCTCACGAACAAAACATATCTCCAACTCGACATGCTTCATTTTTGCCTGAAACATAGGATTGACACTCATTGCAACTGCACTTGTGTTATCGCACCATACTACCGGAATTACACTTGTTTCTTCTCCCATGTCAACGAGCAATGTCTTAACCCAGGCGACTTCAGAAACCACGTCTGGGACAATACGAAACTCGACCTTGGTGGTTGATCTAGTAACTGTCATTTGCTTCCTGGAACTCCATGAGATTAGGTTGTTGCCAAGAAAAACACATGAACCAGACACTGATCGGGGGTCATCAGCATTGCTTACCCAGTTAGGGTCAGCAAAAGCAATCACCTTACTCAACGGAGAACATGCCTGGAAAATAAGTCCATGATGAAGCGTGCCATGTAAATATCGTAAAATCCTCTTTACTGTTATCCAATGACCTTTACATAGTCTTTTTAAAAAAATGACCTTCACATGAAGCATGCATATATTGAGAAACTCTATGAACACTAAATATTATATCCGGACGAGTGTATGTGAGATAGAGTAAGGTACCAATGATACTTCGAAAAAACGGAGGGTCATCAAGAATTTTACCAGACTCGCCTGTGAGCTTGAGAAAGATTGCCATAAGAGTTGGAGCTGGTTTTACTTCAGTCATTTTAGTTTTTACTAACAAATCTTTAATGAAATTTCTTTGGCGAAAAATTAGATGATCATGAGTTCTGGTAACTTCAATGCCCAAGAAAAATCGTAAGTCATCGAGATCTTTTAGAGAAAACTGATCACCAAGACAATGAATAACCTCTTCAACCACAATCTTGGAGTCGTTGATGATGATAATATCATCAACATAGATTAATAAGAATACACGAGTGCCTCCAGAGCTTCGGATAAACAAAGAGGCATCAGCAGGAGACTCCTTAAACCCCTGCAACACAAGATATTGTTTTAATCTTGCGTACCACATCCTCGGGACTTGTTTTAAGCCATACAAGGCTTTTGTTAGCCTGCACACTAACAATTTATCATCAAGAGATTGTTGTTCAAAACTAGGAGGTTGGAGCATAAATACTTCATCACTTAATTCTCCGTTGAGAAATGCGTTGTTAACATCAACTTGACGCAATACCCACTGATTTAAAACATCCATGGAGAGTAAAACGTTTACCCTAGACGACTTTATAACAAGACTAAATGTATCTCTAAAATCATGCCTAGGGACCTGCAAGAATCCTTTCGTAACCAACCACATTTTGCGCCAAACAACAGTGCCATTAGCATAAGTTTGAACAACCATTTGTAACCAATGGCCACGCGATTAAGTGGGAAAGATACAAGATGCCATGTAGAATTTTTCAAGAGAGCATTATACTCATCAAGAATAACTTGTTTACATGCTTAATCAATAAGTGCTTGAGAAATCAATGTTATCTCTACTTCGTCATCAAAGGAGATAACATCAGCCCAAAAAGTATTGGGCTTGAAAATACCCAGCTTGCTTCTTGTTATCATAGGATGACGATTCATGACACCACTGGATGATTGAAGTTCGCAACAGGTATGATATGTAACACCCCCAACCCGTACCCAACCGGATATGAATCCAAGGTGTCACATTGACTTTTCAAAGCACATACATTTATAAAACCATAGTAAATTTAAACTTTTATTAACACCAAAACTAAATTTACATCGTTAAATTCAAAACATTACAACTTGATCAGAGCTTACGTACTATACGACTCTATTTACATGCCAACACATAGATTATATAAACAAACATACTGTGTAAGGGGCTTCTGATATGATCTTCAAGTTATGATATGTTGTTCTACCACTCCTAAGACTGGTCTTCTTGCTTTTTTGTACCTACGTGTAAATCACTTACACGCTAAGTCATAGACTTAGTACGTCATAAACTTATAATAATGTACTTCGTATGAATATGAACATGCAACACAATATTCAAAATTCCATCTCATTTCATATAATTCATTATAAACAATGCTAATACTATAACATATATTGCAATACACCTTTTTTATATTATTTATAGGCCCATGTATATACTGAGAACTTAAGGTATTCGAGTACATAGAGGTTGTGCACATCTGTTGTCACCACATCTCGTATAAGTTCCACTGAGTGCCATATGAGATTTGTCCCAAATAACCTATGAATATGTCCCAACTGGCTTATGAGTATGTCCCAAAGGACCTATGAAACCCTCGACTCTTGGCATGTCAACTATACCTAGAGCTCTCACATTACATAACATGTGCATTAATATTTTACTTTATATATACATGTACTTATATCATTTCCATAGTAATCACATATATCTTTTTTTTCTATCACATTTCACATGTGCATATGATCATCCATATCATATTCTATGACACAAGTATTTGAATACATTCATATGAGTCATATAACATGTAGTGAATCATATGTAAACATATATGACTTATGCATATTTAATAAAGACTATAATGTATGCATGTTCATAACTATTATACTATGAAATTAATCTAGGAAATAGACTTATCGCAAGTCTTATTTTCCATTAACTTATACCTATATTATGCACTCACCTTAGCCTTGCTTGCTTTGATTTGATCCTAACTCTTTGATTGTTCCGGAAAGGAATTACGTTCTATATCTACACAATAATACATGGATCTATATCAGTACTCTAATTTATATACTCTAATCTTTCATTTCTCAGACTAAGATAAAGGTTATTTCATCTTTTATTTAAGGCAGGTATCGGTACACTCTCTAGTGTATCGGTACATTCCTTAACGTGTGTATCGATACACTACCTATGTATCGATACACAAATTACATTCGATGTTTTCATTTTAAAGGGTGTATCGATACACTTACTATGTATCAGTACACTTTGAACATTTTCTGGAAATTTACCCTTGATGTATAGGTACATGTTGAATGTGTACCGATACACACCAGCCTAGATTTCACATTTTATGCACGAAAATTACGCAACTTAGCTCAAAAACTTCATATTTCCTCCCCTTACATATTCCTAACTCACATCCATATACTTAAATCCATTATTACCTATTTATCACCTCTTAAACCTCAAAGTCCTATCATTCATATGTAATTCAAGAATTACACCAACTTTACAACATGTTCTAATTCCAAATGTTCTAATTCCAATTCTAACACTTCATACATGTTAATTAGGTTGATGACAAGTCAAATTCAATCTCAAACTTCATTAAAAAACCCTCTTCCAAGATTTCACTTATTCCTCTCTTTTCTTTAATTCTATCTATTCTCTTCATCTTATTGTTCCAAGATAATTTAAGCTCTCCTTGAGCTTAATTATCACCTCATAATCAAAACCCAACCTTAAATTTAACAATAAATCAATTAATTAGAAACTCACTTTTGGCTCTTGGCTTCCACGCGTTAAGAAGAAAATAGAATAAGAGAACTCTGGAAACTCACTTAGTTTCCCTCTCCCTCCCACGTGGTTAATATATAACCATACTTAATTGTTTTCCTTACAAATGACCATTTTGTCCTTCAATTCCTCTTCTTTATAATTTAATCCTACACGACATTTTTTGTATAAGTCCTTGAACTATTTAATTATTCTAATTTAATCATCAAATTTAAAACTTTATCATTTAGTCAGTAACCCGATATTGAGGATGTTACAAATCTCTCCCTTAAGAAAATTCGTCCTCGAATTTTCATTACGCAAAGAGATGGAGGTACTGATTCCCAATGTCCTCTTCACGCTCCCATGTTGCTTCCTCTACCTTGTGATTCCTCCACAATATTTTAACCAATGGAATAGTCTTGTTCCTTAGTTGCTTAACCTCGTGAGCTAAGATTTTGACATGTTCTTCCTCATACATCAAATCCGATTGAACTTCAATCTCTTCTGGAGTCATAATATGGGATGGATCAAATCGATACTTCCGAAGCATTGAGACATGAAAGACATTATGTATATTTTCCATTTCAGGTGGCAAAGTTAATTGATATGCCACGGGTCCAACTCTCTTAATGATCTCATAAGGCCCAATAAACATGGGACTAAGTTTTCCCTTGCATCCAAACCTCAAAACCTTCTTCAAATTAGATACTTTGAGAAACACTTTATCTAATTTGATATTCTATATCATTCTTCTTTAAATCCGCATACGATTTCTGTCTATCAGCTGCTACTTTGAGGTTACTCTGAATCACTTGGATCTTTTCTTCCACTTCTTGAATCAACTTCGGACCGAGAACTTCTCTATCTTTAATCTCAAACCAATTCAATGGAGTACGATATCTTCTTCCATAAAGAGCTTAATAGAGCCATTTTGATACTTGATTGATAACTATTGTTGTACGCAAATTCGACAAGTGGCAAATATCTTTCCCACGATCCCTTGAATTCTATTACACAAGCTCTTAGCATGTCCTCTAGAGTTTGGATAGTCCGTTCAGATTGTCCATCAGTCTGAGGATGAAATGTTGTGCTAAAATTCAATCGACCCCCAATGCTCCCTGAAAAGACTTCTAAAACCTCAACGTAAATCTAGGACCTCTATCCGAAAAAAGAAATTTGTGCACCATGTAATCTGATAATTTCTCTGATATACAATTCGACATACTTATCTATGGAAAAATCAGCTCAAACTGGAATAAAATGAGCTGACTTAGTCAATCTATCTACAATCACCCAAATTGAATCTCTTTTATTGGAGTCAAAGGCAATCCCGTTACAAAATCCATCGTTACATTCTCCCACTTCCACTGAGGAATAGACATTGGTTGCAATAGTCCTAACGGAACCTGATGCTCAGCTTTAACTTGCTGACAAGTCAAACACTTAGATAAGAATTCCGTAATATTATTTTCATTCCAGGCCACCAATATCGGCTCTTGAGATCCATATATATTTTGTTTCCTCCTGAGTGCATCGTCAATGGACTATAATGAGCTTCTGTTAACAAATCATTCTTCAATTCATCATTATCTAGAATTACTAGTCTCCCTCGAAAGTATAGATTCCCATCCGATTTAATCTCATAATCAACAAGCTCTCTATTATGTACTTGTCGTAACCTCTTTGAACATTTTTCATCTCTAACTTGCAATTCCTTGACTCTGTCTACCACAATGGTCGAAGAGATAATTATGCACATAATTCACCTTCATCATTCAATGACAACCTAGCACCCAGAGTTCGTAAGCTGCAAACGTCTTCCGGCTTAAAGCATCTACTACTATATTTGCTTTCCATGATGGAAGTCAATTACTACATCGTAGTCTTTTAGAAATTCCACCAATCTTCTTTGCCTTAAATTTAACTCATTCTGAGTTATTAAATACTTTAAGCTCTTATGATTGTATACAAGTAACATCGTTCACCATACAAGTAGTGACGCCAGATTTTAAGAGCGAACACCACTGCAGTCATTTCCAAATCATGCGTAGGATAATTCTTCACATGCGGTTTTAATTGCCTCGATGCATACGCCACCACTTTACCTTCTTGCATCAATACACATCCCAAACCATTATGGGACGCGCCACTTATACACCACATAGTTTTTACCAGACTCCGGTTGAATTAGTACTGGAGTTTCCCTCAAAATATTTTTCAACATGTCAAAACTTTCTTGACATTCAGGACTCCACACAAATGTTATACCTTTTCTCATCAGCTTAGTTAAAGGTAAAGTGATCATCGAAAAGTTCTTAACGAACCTTCGATAATAACCCGCAAGTCCCATAAAGCTTCAAACTTCAGATACATTCTTGGGAACATCCCATTCAAGAATAGTTTTTACTTTTTGAGGATCTACTCAAATTCCTTCCATGGAAATCACATGTCTGAGGAATATTACTTCATTCAACCAGAACTCACATTTGGATATCTTGGCATACAACTTCATGTCTCGTAGAGTTTGCAAAAACGTTCTCAAATGTGCACTATAGTATTCTTTTGTGTTTGAATACACTAATATTTCATCGATGAAAACCACTACAAATTGGTCTAGATACGGTTGAAATATTTTATTCATTAGATCATAAAGGCAGCCGGTGCATTTATAACTCCAAAAGGCATCACAATAAATTCATAGTGACCATACCTCGTTCTAAATAAAGTATTTGGAATATCTTTTTCCTGAACTTTCAAATGATGATATCCAGATCGTAAATCAATCTTAGAAAAAATAGAAGCTCCTCTCAACTGATCAAATAAATCTTCAATTCTAGGAAGATGATACTTATTTTTAATGGTTACTTTATTGAGTTGCCTATAGTCGATGCAGAGACGCATTGACCTATCATTCTTTTTCACGAACAACACTGGAGTTCCCCATGGTGAAACACTCAGTCTTATGATTCCTTTGTCCAACAACTCCTGTAACTGTATCTTCAATTCTTGTAACTCTTTTGGAGCCATTCTATATGGTGCCATGACAATGGGTGCAGTTCCAGGCATTATTTCAATTTAGAACTTCACTTCTCTATCCGGAGGTAAACCCGATAATTCTGCTAGAAAACCATTAGGAAACTCTTTGACTATAGGGATTTCTTCTAATCATTTTTCCTTGATTATAGTATCCAATACATTAGCCATGAAACCTTGACATCCCTGTAATAATAGCATCTTTGCTGACATCACCAAGATAACGTTTGCTAATGGATTCTATTTTTCACTAAATATTAATACTTCTAATCCATCTGAACTGATTAGCGTTACTCTCTTCAATCTACAATCAATATTTGCATGATATCGGTATAACAGTCCATTCTCATAACCACCTCGAATTCTTCAAAGGGTAATTCCATCAGATTAATAGGGAATTCAATTCCCTGAACCTATATGGGACATCCCCAACTTACCAAATTCACACGAGCACTATGCCCTAATGGATTCGTCACTATCACTTCATTGTTAGTAGCTTCTAGCAGAATATTCAATTTTCTCACTAACTTACTACTAATGTATGAATTTGTAGACCCCGGATCAATCAATACCATAACACATTTATCATACAGTAGAAAGGTACCTGCTATTATCTCTAGGGCATCTCGGTCTTCATTGGTTTTGAGGTTATACACTCGAGCAGTGGTGTTAACTTCCTACTAGTAGAGGATTAGGGTTGACTTTTACCTCTTCTCTACCTCGCCCCCTCTGAGACAGTGAAGTAGATTGTTTCGGTGGAACAGGTTCTCGGCCCTTAAGGGACAGTCTCTCATGAAATGTATTGTTTCCCCACATCGAAAACGAGCTCCTATTTTGACTCTGTATATCCCGCTATGATTTCTTCCATAAATCTGACACTGTCTAACTTGACTCTGTTGTGCTCGTCCATCACCAGACCCTCCAGATTGAGTCTGTCTAGCTCTTTCCTGATTTGATCATCTGGCAAAAGATGTCACAGATTCTGACCTCGCTTGAGATCGAAAGCCAAAATCTCTACCTCTCTTAGGCGGTGCAGAACTCAATGAAACTTCAGTTCTTTTTTACAGTTGAGATCTTTGCTCCCCAAACAGTTTATTCTGAGCTCTCTCTAGAGCTTTAGTACGGTTTACTACCTCTTGAAACGAGGACAGGTTCAGAACAATCAACATCTCTTTTAACCTTGGACGCAAGCCCTCAACAAACCACTCGCATGCATCTTTCTCTGTAGGCACCAATTCTGCTACAAACCGACTTAACTTATTGAATTCACACTCATACTCATATACAGTGCGGTTAATTTGCTTCAAATTTAAGAATTTCTGCTTCATATGCTTGATGAACTGGTTTCCTATGTACTTATGCTGAAACTCTTCCAGAAACAGAGACCATGTCACTTGATCACTAGTCATC